AACAAGAAGCTACTAGTAACAAGTGCATCGCTAGTAGTAGCTAATTTCTACTAGTAACATCTAGTAACAAGGAGCTACTGGGTCTTCCGGACCCTTCCAGCAATCGCCGCACATCACCCAGCTGCACCACCGATGCATCCTGGCAGTCTAGATATACACCGCGTTGCGAGGGCGGTGGGCTATCCCAAACCCGCAACATCAGTGGATGCACCTACCGGTGGAACTCCATCTGGTCTGGAATTAATAAGTCTAATCTGCCACCAAACCGAGGCAACATTATCCTGACTCTATGGGCAGCAGAAATCACCTAGCGAAGGGTCCGGGCCAAAAAAAACATGTCTCTTCCTCCTGTGTGAAATGCATGATGTCAACAATGTTTGGCATACTCTGAAAGCCCGATTTCGTGCCTTAGTTGCACCTGAACTATTCTTGGATGCCCTCCGCTACAAGTAGTGTAACGCTGCATGTTGCAACGCATGCCCCCACCACACGCATTCCCATGCCAAGCGGGTGTGACTGTTGTCTTGCAAAATCATGGTGCGGCTACTATTCTATATTCTGATATGCTCATGGCTTTGGAATTGGCATTGTCAGTTGTCTGCAGAAACAACAATCAATTTATATAGACTGTCAGATTCAGCAATGATATGGGAATATATGGGAGCAAGGACGCTACTAGGTGGAGGCCATCGCAAGTAGGTTGGAGGCCATCGCCACTAGGAGCAAGGACACTACTAGAAGCAAGGACTTGTTACCATAGATTGAACTGTTGTTACGCAAACCATGCACAACACACTTAAGGTTGTCCAATAACACCCTATATGTCCCTGTTCCACCTTTGATATTGTTTTTTGTCCTTATCGTTTTACGGTGCTTTGACTAACTGACTAACTGACTACAAGATGTGGAACTGCCTTTTGTGCTGCAAAAAGCTGGAAAAGAAGTGGAACTGGCAAGCGGGTTTTTTGCTCATTGCAGACTAGCACAGCTAGTATATGTGTGGGCCATTGCACACCAGTGGCCATCGCTTCTAGGTTGGAGGCCATTGTGTACCAGTGTGTGAGAAGGTCCGGGAAGATGTTTTGCGATGCTTTAGGGGTTTGTGTTTTCGTTCTCGTGCTTGATACAAACATCGATTTCTATATGCAAACAAAGCAGAGCACTCCTCGTCATTGCCTTGTGTAGGGAAAACAAACCTGAGAAGAAACACACACATATATATATATATAACTATATTATATATATATATTATATTATATATGAAGGGTTGTCCATCTGCACGGTTCTCGCTTCGTTGTTTCCGTTCTCGATTTACGGTGGACGAAAGCATCCTTCTCGCAAAAGGACGTGCGAAAATGAATGTCCTGCGCGTCGAACTCTTTGTACTTTCTCATCGAAAAAAGAACGGCATCACACGACAACCTTTCCCACTGACCATTCCAACACCACCCAGCGACGCGCAAACGACCGGTGCCTGGTTCCAAACGATCGTCCGGTGGAACTCGTCAAAGGCGGCGCGCTCGCTGCGGCGACTCATTCCGGGCGGTGAAGTCTTCCGGGGAAAACGATGCTTTTTTGTAGCTGGACTAGCCAGGGAACATGGGAACATCCATGAGGATGGAGGCATTAGATTGGAGGCCATCACTCTTAGATTGGAGACCATCGCTAGTAGTAAAAAGAGTAGACCATCCTTTCCTTATTGACCATCTTCATCCCCCTGGGTCGCCCGGACAGTGCAGGATCATCCAAATTGGAAGGGCCGAAGGGGTAGCAGCGAGACACCTGCCATTTGTCACGTCTTGGATGAGTGGCCACCAAGCCCGAAAACGCGCATGGCTCCACAGTAAGAGCACAACTGCGCTGCTCCAAAGCGTGAGCCTAACTTTTTGCCAACTGCATGATGCCAGCAATTACCTTTGTATATCAGACTTTGTCTAGGCATGAATGCTAGTCATTGTATAATATTGTATATAATATAGCCAGGTATGGAACAAACACCTATCAAAACATGGTGCCCCATGCAGCCATCAAATCCAAATTGGTTCAAGACGCCAAAACCCTGTTCAACACCCCTCGACCCACAAAACTCCGGATGAACACTACTACAGTAATTAGGACGCTCCTGGCATCGCTACTAGGAGCAAGGATGCTAGGAACAAGTGCAT